TTTTGGGTCCAGTGACCCTTCTTCAGAACATACCAACAGCGATCCATACTGGGGATCAGCCTAGTGAGCCTTCTCTGAACTGTCTCCAATGAAATGATATATTTCCCTATGAAGGGGGACCAAAGTTGCTCACTGTACTCCAGATGTGGTCTCACCAGCACCGTGCACAGTTGCAGTAAGACTTCCCTACTCTAATACTCCAACCCCCTTGAAATAAAGGCCAACATTCCATTAACCTTCCTGATTACTTGCTGCAGCTCCGGGCAAGCTTTCCTGTAATTGCTGCATTTCTGAAAATTAATGCGTTAAGCAAAACTACAACACATATTCTCAAAGAAGCCTTTTACATGTTCAACTCTGAGGAAGGGTCACCGGACCCAAAACGTTAACTCTGTTTATTCCTTCACAGATGCTGCCAGACCTGCTGGGCTTTTCCAGCAACTTCTGTTTTTGTTCCTGATTTACAGCATCCGCAGTTCTTTCTGTTTTTACTAAGCCCTTTTACATGTTCAGTTACATTCCTGGAATGTCAACAAGTACTTAGTATTAAAATAAAATGAATATAAAACCCCAAAATAGGCATGAGAATATGCAAAAGGAATATATTTTTATGTTTCTTGCCTCATGCATAAGATCACTTATCTAGAAGTGGGAGGGTGTGGTCAGCTTTTGAAACCTAATCCACCATTGATTGAGGCAGACAACAGGCAAAAGAGCTGAACAAACAGGAATTCACTGCAGAGTGCAGAGTTTTGGCCTACATTCATTCTTCTGCGCTCCTGGGAGCTGGGTAAGAACCACATAATTGTGAATCAGATGCATATTATTGGAATCATAGGTAGAAAAGTAAAAGCTGTGTTCTGGCTGAAATAATTCCATGGAGGCCGGTATCCTGTCACCAAGTCACCCTTCATTTACACAGAGATAGTATGTCACACTGACCCAGCTAGCTCAGAGCTGGCTCCGAGAATGAGCAGAACCCCTGACTCTCCTGTTTATATCTGTCAACCAGGGCTCCCTGATTGGACCAGGTTAGGGAAATCATATACTATCAGGTCCACCTGGCTGACCTTGTGATAATCACTACGCTAACAAAACTACATTCACTGAAACAGTGTTAATCAAGGACTACGTGCACTTAATAGATCAGAGCCTAGTTTATCCATGATTGGCATTTATTTAGTAGTAAAATACAACAAATAGTGTTACTTTGCTGCCTGAAGGCAGTCCTTGACCAGTCTGTCCTCATAGTGTGACATCAAGCCACAAGACACCCCCATGCATGCCAGGAGTGTCAACAGAAAAACTCTTACTCTCAGGCCACAAAGATAAAACAGAAGCTCAGGAGTCAGCATTGGAAAATCTTGCACCCCGAAACTTGGTTACAGGGGTTTATTACAAAATCAAAACTCTGCAGATGCTCAAAACCTGACACTAAAAACAGCAAATGTTGGAAATATTCAGCAGGTCAGATAGCTAAAGTGGAGAGGAAAGAACTGAGCTAATGAGTGGAATTTAATGGTGGTGCCAATGTGCCAGCCCAACAGTTGGTGACCAGGTGCCACCACACTGCCCCTCCATCCACCCATCCCGCTACTCTACAATAAAGTTAATCAGGCACTTACCTGGTTGACAATGGGGTCCTCGTCTTGGTGAAAACCATTTCTTGCCTCCAACTGCTGTCTGCCAATCAGAGGCCAACACTTCCATGGTTCTCCAGTGCCACTGAGAAGAGTGGCCACTGCTTATACTGTAGCAAACCCCAGGCTGATCATTATTGCTGAAGGCTGGTGTGAACGTAGGTGAGGCAGCATTTCAAGGAGACTCCACAAGGGTTAGTTGGGGGCTCAGTTTTAAGGGATGGCGGTGGTCTTCCTTGAAGGGCCAGTTTTGTCACCAGCGAGTCTCTCTATTGGTTGTGGCTGCCTAAGTGAAAGCGTTCTTCCATCTAAACACAGACACTCCCACTAAGTACCAGGCTTGGCTCCCAAATCAGTGCATAAGGCCCCATGTGACCAGTTTAGGGCCTTAATTGGATCCAGGCAAGGATCACAGGATTGTTATGGTGCACAAGAAGGCCATTCAGCCCATTGTGCCTGCACTAGCTCTTCAAGCAAGGATCATTACCTAGCACCAATCTCCTGCCTTTTCCTGATACTTCTGCACACCATATCTGATTAAATAACTATCCAATGGCCTCAATTAAACCTGCCTCCACCACATTTCCAAGCATTTCCAGGAAGGTGACAGGCTCCTCCCCTCACCTCCTGCTTTCCCATTCGATTATGCAGGTTCCCACCAACTGGATGCCCAGTCCAGCTTCAGGGAAGAATGAATAGACCTGAAATGTTAACTCTATTTCCCTTGCCATAGATGCTACCAGACATACTGAGTTCTTCCAGCATTTTGGTTTCAGGTCATTACCATTTTGATCACTGAGGGGTCAGTTCAGTTGAACTTTATTGCCTGACTGCACCATTTGAAACATGAAATACTGTGTTCGTTGCAAATGGTAGGGCACTATAAAGCCAATTTCCATCATTAATTTTAACTGGACTTAGGATACGCAGCTGCATTGCACTCCGAACCCTGCTGAAAGTTTAATTTTCTCCCAGTTCCTTTCTCGTGTCTGCTTCGCATTTTCATCTCTAGCTGTTCTGCTGACTCACTATAAATGCTCCAGTTATGGACTTCTGATAAAATTTTGCACAGCGCTCAGCAATTTTTGGACAAAAGCAAATAAATAATTTCCCCCCACCCCCGTTCTGACCCAAAGAACGTCACAACATCTGCTTTAAAGAAATCACAGGCAAACAGTTAAAAACCTCAGAAAGAAGTAACGATAAAACAAGCAGCAAAAATGTAAAGTGAAATTAAAAAGAAATCTGCTCCTCTTAAAGATTTATCATATTCAGAGGATCCTTCAAGCCTATCTGGATAATCAGAGGGACACACAGCATGATCCCATCATAAACTCACTTTGCTTAGTTAGAATGCATTTTAATGCAACACAATATTTAAATTACACTCAGCAGGCCTGGCAGTATCTGTGAAGAGAAACAGAGTTAACGTTTCAAGTCTGGTGACCCTTCCTCACTGGACCCGAAATGTTAACTCTGTTCACAGATGGTGCCAGATCTGCTGAGCTTTTCCGACAACTTCTGTTTTTGTTTCTGATTTACAGCATCCGCAGTTCTTTCAGTCTTTATTTAAATTACACTCTTTAGTTCATGATACAAAAGTTCTTTACTTCAGCCTAAGAGGTCCCCCAGAAGATTATATTGTGTATAGGATAGCTAGGGGCACTCAGTATACAAATTTAAGAATATAAGAACAGGGGGAGGCCAACTGGACTTTCAAGACTGTAGCTACATTTAATTTGATCCCATGTGATCTGTTTCAACTTTATCTATTTGTTGTGGCACCATTTCTTTTAGCACCCTTATATATCAAAAAAACTATCAACCTCAGCTCCTGAATGTTGACAGGTCTTTGAAAGAGCAAGTTCAGAAGCTCAGTTTGCCTTTTTGTGTGAAGCATCTGCTTCCCATTATCACACCAAAAGTTATGATTTAATTGTAAGGTTAAACCCCAACCTCCCCCCCAACCCCCACCCACACACACCACCCCCCCCGCCCGCCCCCCCCCACCCCCCCACCCCCGCCTTTTCTGGAGTCCCCCTCCAGAGGACGTAGATTTTTTTCTAACCATTTAATGAACATGTACTGATCATTGGAACCGCCCAGATTAGATCACTCCATAATCTTCTGTATTCAAGGGTGTGAGAGCCTGGTATATGCATCCTGTCCGTGTTAGTTAACCCCTTCATTAGTTAATCCTTTTGTATGGTCCTGATCTGGAATTAGAAGTCTAATGATGACCATCAATCCATTGTCGATTGTTGGAAAACCTGACAATCATTTCCTCTATTTCTCATCTCTGTTTCTGCCACTCCATTTCTCATCCTCTGTTACTTGGGCTGGCCTACACATGACTGTGTTGACTCTTAACTGCCCTCTGGGCAATTAGGAATGGTAATAAATCCTGGGCCCAGCCAGCGACATCCACATCTTGTTATTGAATTTTTAAGAAAATGATGTACCTGCACTGCTCCCCATCCACGACACATATACTCTCCCTGAGGTGAGGTGTGCGAAACTGAGCGCGGTTATTCTGGATGCATCCTAACCAAAACTTTACACATCTCCTTGGATTTCCAGCCTCCTCTAGATAAAGGTAAACCTCTCTGCCAGTTCTCTCGGTCCTACTTGCCCGTGCTGCCAAAGTGTTGCTGTTCATATAGAATGATATTTGTGCTGTGTTGCTCTTATTCACCCTGATCCCAACTTCCAAACAAAAAATTCAGCTATACAACTTAGAATTTAAAAACTACCAAGTTGTCAGTGATTTGGGATGGGGGTAGGAGTGTATGCAATGTTTTTACACTGCATTGTTCCTGCTATTTTGGTTTTCAGTCATCTCATTTGGGTCGTGGAAATTGATCCATCTTTGATACAATTGATACACTTATCAAGTACTGAGTTCTTTCATTTCTTTGTGGGCAAACTCACTGCCTGATATAATAACGCAAAGCTGTCCTCTGGGAAATGCTGCTGAGTTGATCTTGATCTGTCCAACAGGAAGCAGAAGTTATCAGGCACAAGAGGTGAGAATTCTGGATAAAAATGTTAGTGTTATCATGTCTAAAGACTCGTCTGAGATTTGTAAAACACAGCTGAACACTTTTCTTTCAGCCTGTATGGATCAATAATGATCTAATTTACTGGTTCATTTAGTGTAAATGATAACACAGACTGGTAGCTGGCTTGGGACAGATGGCATATAACATAAAAAGGCAGCCAGGCCAAGTGCTGTAAGCGATATTTTAGTGGGAAAAACAGAGCGAGAACATGCTGCTATACAGTACTTGATACTAGCTGGGGACTGCCAGCATTCATTTATTCGTTAGCTGAAGCTTTACAGAACAGAGTACCTGCAGGCATTCGGATGGCTGTTTAGGGACTTTTCAAGGACAACTGCAAAATGGAAGTACAATGATTTACTGCTTTACTACTCCATTCATCCTGCTTGACCATTGGAACATTTCAACAGAAACGTATTGCTGCTTTCTCTCCGCACCTTCCCGTTAAATTTCTCTCAAATTTTTTCAGCATTTCATCCCAGGGCTGTGACTTTGACAGCTTGGTGTTCCTCTCAGCTGGAATCTGTAATAAAGTCATGGAGTCACACAGCACGGAAACAGACCCTTCGGTCCACCCGGTCCATGCCAACCATAATCACAAACTAAACTAGTCCCACCTGCCTGCTCCTGGCCCATATCTCTCCGAACCTTTCCGATTCATGTACTTATCTAAGTGTCTTTTAAACTTTGTAACTGTACCTGCATTCATCACTTCCTCTGGAAGTTCATTCCACACATGAACCACTCCCTGAACAAAAAAATGTTGCCACTCACATCCCTTTTAAATATTTCTCCTTTCTCTTCAAATATATGCACCTAGTCTTGAAATTCCTCTCCCTAGGGAAAAGACACCTGCCATTCACCTTATCTATACCCTTCATGATTTTACAAACCTCTGATTATTAAGGAGGCAGGCTCTCCAGGAATCCTCTAAAGGAGAGAATGGAGAGAAGGTGCATCCTCTATTCCAGGAACTGGTTTGGACAAGACCGAGTGAGGTGGGAGGAGTGGATAAGTGGGAGAGAAGATGGACAGGTTGTTTCAGGTCAAGGAAGCAGGGATGAGAGAGAAGCTCCCACTCAGTGACCAATCCCCACGACTCCCTACCTGCACTCACCTATCACCATCCCACCTACCTTCCCCAGCCCCACCCCTCCTTTCTCTGTTTATTTCAGAGCTCCCTTCCCCCGTCGCCATTTCTGAAGAAGGATCCCAACCTGAAATGTCAATTTTCCTGCTTCTCTGTGGCCTGCTGTGTTCCTCCAGCTCCACAATGTGTTATCTCTGACTCCAGCATCGGCAGTTCTTCCTATCTCTCAGGTAGAGGACATGTCAGATTATTAATCCAGACTGGGTCTCCTGAACAATCCTGAATGCATCTTCCGGAGTTTTGTTTTTGATTCTAGAAAAGAAATGTTATTGTTTTCTTGAAAATGGTTTCACCTTAATCCTAAAAGTTTTAAAGCATCATGTGATGATTTATCACCATTATTAGTGAGAATGCTAGTACCAAGCTGGGTTTTATTATACTTTCGAAACAACCTGTTCAGAGATGTTCTGACAAACCTCTGGAACAGGTGGGACTTAAATTGGGACTCCTGGCCCAGAGGTAGGATTGTGTGACAAGATCCCCTCCTCTCCAGCTGAGTTTTACTCTGGGCTTCGTTTAGCTTCCATCCTGAGGGCTCAGTGTCCCCAAGTTAGAACTTACGTGATGAAATCTTCCTTGTTTAACCTGACAGCAGAGTCCCAGCTCAGTTCCATCAGGCAGGGATATGCATGGTCATACGACAGGGCTGGTAGAGAAATGTGTGTGAGCTATAATGGTGTAGCAACCAACTGATTTTTTTAAAATGCTGCTTTCCTTACTGCAGTGAAATGGACAGACAAATGAAGAAATGTGTGACCCTCACATATCACAAGCTATCTTCATAAATTAATCTATTCATGTAAATGGTGAAAGCAGCATGAATAATAAATTTGCACATAAATCCAGATCTTCCCTTGCACTGTTCATATTAAATCAGAGGATCTGCTATTGCATGAGAAGGGCATTATACCATGTGACAACAAAATATATTATAACATTCTTGATCACTTGTGACATTTCTCACAAGCAAAAAGTTTTCTCATCCTTTACATTAATTCCTTTTATCTTGCAGTCTGTTTTCAACATCCATCTGGCTTTTTATTTTCTTTCTCAGCTTCTATGCTGTTGTTACTTTTTATATTGTGAGGTTTGAATGTCTATTGCTTTCTTTCATTGGCTTAACTTTGACTCTTTATGTAGACCTCACCTCCTCTTTAGATGCTCCCTTTTTTTTTGTCAGCAGGGAAGAGAGATTTGCATTTCTCTAGTAACTTTCATTGCCTCAAGACACCCTAAGGTACTTTAAGGCCAATGAAGTATTCTCGAAACCCAGTCATTGGTGTAATGTAGGATATACTGCAGCCAATTTACATGCAGCAAACTCATACAGTCAGAACTCTGTTGTGGAGATGATAAAACGTTTTAATGATATTAGTTGAGGGATAAATATTGGCCAAGTTAATGGGATTAACTCCCCTGCTCTTCCGTGAAATATTGCATCCATCAAAAAGGACAGATTCGGCACAAATTTAGAATCTCATTTGAAAGACAAAAAGTCCTTGTAATTCTCACATGTATTGTATCCCTAATATATTCACGAATTATTAATCATTACCTATCTATTGGCTATAAAACAATGGGCAGCATCATATTGAAGGCGGACACTACCATATGTGTGCTTGAGAGGGACTGGGAATTAAGGGTTGGTGTTGGACTGTCTGTGGAGATTGGTGGAAGGGATCACAGTGTGGGGAGTCCGGTACCTAATACTGCATTGGGATATGAGATGTGCAAGCTCTGGAGTTTGGCCAAGCCAAGTGACATTGTGACCTGGTATTCTCAGTCTGCACGCAGGATCCGATGGGCTAGCGTGTTTTTGAGGCAGATACACAAGGCAGGTGGAGTAAGAGGTATTTTGAGCAAACAGCATGCATTCACAATGTTAAGAAAGTTCAAAATGTCCACTTAGCTCAGTTAGCACCAGTTTTTCCTCTGTCAGAATATGGTAAATTCAGGCCCCGATTCAAGAATGTTAGTGCACAATCTTGGCTGGTGTTTCAGGGGAAGAACTGAGGGAACGTTGCATTGCCAGATGTGCTGTCTTTTATTGATTCTTTCTATATCTTTAAGTTCATTTAAGATTCTGACCAACATCCTCCCTTAACCACTAGCCATAACACCGGATTAACTGGCTCATCATTATCAGTCATCAATAATTGGTTATTGATCCCCTTTGCTCCCAGGGGATCCCCCAGTATTGGGAATAAAGCTAGTTTTATTACTTAATCAATGGAAGACCACAACAATAAATGAAGTTTTCTTTTATTTTATTGGGATGTGGGTATTGCTGGAATGGCCTGAATTTGGTACCAAGTCATTGAATTGAGTGGTTTTCCAGGCCATTCAGAGGATAGTCAAGAGTCAATCATATTTCTATGGATCTGAAGTCACATGTAGACAGAATCACTGATTTCCCTTTCCTGAAAAGTATTTGTGAAGCAAATGGGTTTATGACAATCAGCAATAGTTTCACAGCCACCATGAGGCAAGCTTTAGATTCCAGATTTTAAACTCTGCCAACTACCACGTGCATTAACCTGGGACTTTGAAATACTTCTCATCCAATCAGTATTAATGCAATGCCACCATTCCAATTTATACACCACTCTATCCTTTTAGGTACTGCAGAGAGACAACCGGTGGCGAGCTTAAATCTCAGGGTCAGCAGATCTCAGGAAAGGGGAGAGGTTGAGAAGGAAATGCTTTCACAGTGACCTCAGCTGGTGTAGGAATGGAACCTGTGCTGTTGGTGTCGCTGTGCATTATTTACCAGCCGTTCAAACTAACCACCCCTCATTAATGAGTGATGATTAGCTAAGGTGCTAAGTTAGGTGCAAATTTATTCTTGCCATCTTTTGAATGAAGATCTGAGTTACTTGTGTTAAAGATAAAAAAAATGTGTAATACTAACAATTCCACCTGGGCCCAGTTAACAACCTATTAGAAAGAATAATTGTACAATAATTTTAATGTTGTCCAGTTTCTGAAAAAAAAATTTGCTTCCTTATTTCTTGGGTAATTTATTTCTGGACCATGAATTTTTTTTTATGGTCTGCTTAAAAGGTAAGACATTAATCTTCAGTGATTTTTTTTTCAACCTCATTCTTATTCAACTTCAGTGATTAAGCAATAAAACTGCAAGAGCAAAATTTATTGCAATGGAAAATGTTAGAGAGAAATGTTTCAGTATAATTTGGGAAACAAATTATATATTTAAAAAATGATCCCAGTTTGAGAGTTTTACCCTGTGTCTCTAAATAGTGAATTGTTTGAGTTTATTACTTGCAAGAGAAATAATCCTCTCTTTTGGGAATTAAAACAAATAAGATCCTATGATTATAGAACGGAGGAGCTTTGCATTTAGAAACTGTGATGAAGATTAATGGGATGTTTGCCCATTTAGTCAGCAGTCTTGCTATTGTGATCGCCTATTATTGCATTCATATGTATGAGATAAATCAGCATTATTTCAAGTCAAATTAAATTAAATATGACTTATCCTGATGTAAACATGTTGTGCATCAAATTTATTTGACAAATGATGCATTTATTTCCATTTTTGTCAAATAGGATGCTTATGAACTGTTTGAATTCACTGAGTATTTTGAAGTGGCATTGACCACAATGATGCATAATTACTTTGAAGACTCGATCCTGACTTTTAATTGACTTAACCATAATGGCGACATGGAGTGTAATTTTCACGGTTATGGCCATTTAGCCTCTTAAGCAGAAGGCACCAAAAGTGGAGGAACCAAACAGGCATTTATATGCTTCTAAATTGCATTTTATCCTTTTTATTATTCATTGATGCAAAACAGGCTCGGAAGGCCAATGTTTAATCCTTAATATTCAAGAAAAGATTGATAGATTTTTTGATAATAAGAGAACTAAGAGCTGTGAAGCTGGTTTCGGAACCTGAAACTGAGGTAGAAGATCAAAAACACGGTTATATTGAATGCCTGCAAAGGCTCGAAGTCTGATTACCTATTCTTATTTCTATTTCTTATTTTCTTTATTACACTCTGATATATAGTGCTCATGAGAAGGTTGTGCTGGGCCACCTTCTTGAACCTGTAGCACAAGTGGTGAAGGTGCTCCTACAAAACTGCCAAGTAGGGAAGTAGGTTCCCAGCTCATTTGGAATACTGGACAATTCAAATCCCAGAATGAAACCTGGCTTGATAGAGCACATATTTAATGTTTGCAATTTGATTACATGATGGTTACCCTTTGGCTTGAGAATCCTCCAATAACTTTGCAACCCTTCCATACTGATCGCTTGTAAGTCACCTCCCCCTTTCCTTCCACAGTTGATGGCTGTGCCTTCCGCTGTTTAACCTCTACCTTCTGGAACACCCTACCACAACTTTTCATCTCCCTTTCTTAAAAGGCACCTATTTGCTTCTTCCTCCGTTGCTCTAATTCTCCTTTTTCAGAGCGTCCATTTTTGTCTGATTATACTTGTACAATGTGTCTAACAAAGATTGTTCACATGCTAAGGGAAAAAAAGAGATCCTACTTTATTTCAACAATTGATGTAAACAGCCTCCACTTGTTACCTACACTGAATGTAACAAAGACTTCTTATTCACGGGACAGGTAATCATATAGCCTTTCCTGGAAGGCTGAAAGAACAACATTCATAATTTTGTTAATCTATTTACCACATGTTGCTTTACAATTTAAGTGGTGTCATACAGTGGGGTAATAACACAGATGGAGCAAAGCAGCAAAATAATCCTTCTCAATCCCTTCTATCTCTCTGAATGATAAGCATTAAAACAATATTATAAAATCAATTAATTGTTAGCAAAACCAGGAATGCTGACAATTCTTTGAATGCCTTTTACTGAAATAAACACTGTTACTGAAGAACAGAAGACAGCCTTTCACTTTGTATGCATTACATTCGTACACTACTTTGCTATTACCTATAAAGTAAATGTATCAACTCAATTGGCAAAGATTAGCAATACTCTGACTACTCTGGAATTGGAAAAGATTTGGAATGTAACAATTCCTCTATAACCCATACAGCACTGCTAATAAACTTTACCTATGTTTTAGCAGGTGAGCTCCGTACTGCAGCACACTTACCCTGAAATGTTCCTTCATATACCAGGAAGAGGCATATCCAGCATGCTTTCCATCAACACATTCTCCAATCCTTGCCCAGAATGACCTTTGTCTGAAGTAAGGTGTTGTCAATTCAACAGAAGATGCAGTTATGTGAACTCAGAATCTAATTCTTCCTCTGGCTGCATGCAGATGAACGATCTGAAACAGTTTACATGGAAAATAAGAGTGTAACCTATTTAGGGTAGGGGTATTTATGGGTACTTATTCACTAATGATTAAAAGTAGTGATGTGGTTTAATAAGACTACAATCAGTGCTAATATGGGTGACTCATTTCATGAAGAACAACAAAAACAGAACATCTTCAGAACTTCCGTCTCTTGAAGCGATATGACTGGACTCAAAATATTATTGTTTCTCTCCCTGCAGATGCTGCCAAACCTGTTCAATTTTTGTTTTTGTACCACAAACAGCAGTTTTGAAAGAGTATTCACTTACACAGAAGTTATATTTTCCTGATTATATTTTTAGGTTCATTGTGATGATTTGAGGAGTTGAAATCTATCTTTGTTCCTGGGCATGACAACATAATTTGAGCCTTTGAATTTAACATTGTTTTGCACCAGGGTTGACAGACTGTGTGTGATCCGATCATTGCTACTTTGGACTGGTCACCCTTGTCTGTCCTTTGCTCACATCGCTGCCCTGACAACTCTCTGTGCTGCCTAGAATTTCTTCCTTCTAGAAACTTTCAAGAGCCCATGAACATCCATTGTAAAAATGGGTCTACCTCCTGAAGGTCTCATCAGAGAGAAGGCTGGGTAGAACCAGTGAGCAGAACCATGGCCGCAGTGTCTTCCATTAACATTTTACTGTTAGAAGTGTCTTTGTTCCCTCATGTTCTATTGCTTGTTGTCATTCTGTTTTTATTTTCTTTTCCTGTTAAATTATGTTATTACAATGTAATAATTGTCTACAATTCTGCTCATTTCCACTTGTGCTTTCCAGATTTAAATTTGTATCCTGACCACCTATTCCACAAATACTTTCAATTTTTAGACTTGATTTACCCCTATCAACCCTCAAAACTTACTGCCAGAGTTAGAAGATTTGAGCTGGGAGAGGATGAAAAGGCTGGGGCTATTTACCCCTGGAGCTTTGGAGGCTGAGGGGTGATCTTATAGAAGTTGAGAAAATCATGAGGGACGTGGATAAGGTGAAGAGCCAAGGACTTTTCCCCAGGGTAAGGGAGTCCAAAATTAGAGGGCATAGGTTTAAGGTGAGAGGGGAAAGGTTTAAAAGGGGCCTAAGGGGGAACTTTTTCACACAGAGGGTGGTGCATGTATGGAATGAGCTGCCAGAGGAAGTGGTGGAGGATGGTACGTTTACAACATTTAAGAGGCATCTGGATGGGTATATGAATAGGAAGGGTTTAGAGGGACCTGGGCCAAATGCTGCAGCATTAACATCCTGTGGGAAAAAAAATAGTTGAGTACGCCTGGTAAGTTTGTGTCTTGTTTCAGAGTATAACTTATTGATTATATGCTGCTTCTACGGATGGGTTCCCATCCATTCCAGTAGCAATTAAGTCCAGGTACAAACTATACTTTTCATGAGCCAGGGTTCTTTTTTCTTCAATTCCATGGAGGACGATGGCAAGGAACATTTGAGGACTCTGGTTCTATACTCGATGGAGTTTAGAAGGATGAGGGGGATCTAATTGAAACCTACACAATACTGAGTGGCCTGGACAGAGTGGATGTTGGGAAGAAGTTTCCATTGGTAGGAGAGTCCAGAACCTAAGGGCACAGCCTTAGAGTAAAGGGAAGACCTTTTAGAACGGAGATAAGGAGAAACGTCTTCAGCCAGAGAGTGGTGAATCTATGGAATTCACTGCCACAGAAGGCTGTGGAGGCCAGGTCATTGAGTATATTTAAGACAGAGATAGATAGGTTCTTGATTGTCAAGGGGATCAAGGGTAACAGGGAGAAAGTGGGAGAATGGGGTTGAGAAACTTATCAGACATGATTGAATGGCAGAGCAGACTCGATGGGCTGAATGGCCTGATGTCTGCTCCCATGTCTTATGGTCTAAACACTAATAATCTCGTTGACCCACATCTTCCAGTCTCCAGCCAACTGGGCAGAGACTGGGCATACCTTGGCAGATGTGCACTGTGGCCATTCAGGGCCACTATGAACTTATAACAGTGATTGCCTGCAAGGTTAGTGGTTCAAAAGGGTCTGGATGTCTGTAAGAGTTAATACTGAGGAATGCCTTAAGCCTCACCCTGCAATGTCTTCCAGACTTGGTGCGAGAACAGCTAAGGAGTAAACAATCCAGCTCCTCCTCATAGTCTCTCTACCTGCGGGTGGAAACTTATAAGGCCCTGAACTACATGGGCCTTGGTGGGAAATCTGGGTGAATCACTCGAGAAATCCAGAGAGACCAATCAGCAGACAACTGGTTAAAAGCTCAGTGCTTTTCTTAAATATCATTGTACATCTGAGTTGCAATATCCTCATTAAAATTGGGCGAGGAAGTGTATTTTGCAAAATGTTTTCGAAGGCAAAGTTGGCCTACTTCACCTGTAACGTGACAATACAGTGTTTTCATTACACACTTTAAAAGTTGGCACACATCATTAGGAGATAGATACTTGGCCAGATCTACAAGAAGCATTTCTCTAGAGAAATATTTGATCTCTGCACCCTTGATTTTTCCTCAGTAGAATTAAATAAGATAACATTTTCCTGTTCAAGTGACACTCCTCTCTTCTGCAGAATAAGTGAGAAAGCTGCCAGTTATCTTCAACTGGAATTATGACAGGACTTTATATTAGTCAGCTAGACTGAAAGATGTTGTATTCAAATCACACCTTTCATGACCTCAGAATGCCCCAAAGCCCCTTAGATCCAATTAAATGACACTGCTGTGGTGTAGAAAACAGGGCAGCCAATTTGCACACAGGGAGATGTCACAAAATGTAGTATAGCAATGCTTAGATGATTGCTAACCTGTGAGATAAATACTGGCCAGGACTGCAGGGATATTTCCACTGCTCCTCATTAAATTAATGTTATAGAATACTTCATATCCACTGGTTGGACAAACAGGGTGATATCTCAGGATGTCCAACAGAAAGAATTCAGGCATTGCACAGGATCTGGTTGAATCCAATGAAATGTTGCAAACCTTACTTGGTTGCAAAGTCATTCAGACTCTGTTTCTCAGCCCTAGAAAACTAGGTTTGAATCCAACAAAGATTGTAGCAATGGGACTTTTAAAACTTTCCAACGTTGAGGACTGTAATGTGAAGTGAATATTTGCGGTTTGAATTTGGTGACCCTGAGCTTCCAGCTGAAGAGCATTCATGATTTAATCCAAAATCAGCACCCATTGACAGCTGCACCTTTAACTGCCTGAGCCTGAATCTAAGTTACGAGAGATTGTGTGATAGTTTAGATACTTCAAATTACTTTTTCTCCCCCACTTATCCCTTCTCACTTCAGTGGTTTGTGTTAAAGCAGCATCCTGCAACAGACATTCTCCTCTTAGATCTCACAAACTGATCATTCTTGATATTTGAGGCTGACAACATTCCCTGTCTGTCCTAAGGGTGAAGTATCACAGCCCAAGCTGATTCTTTATCTACATAGATAGGGACTATGTCTGTGGTGAGGTGGAGGGAGTGGACCAAAAGGCAAACACCATTTCCAGATAAACTGGAATTCCTGCACCCAGTGATATTGAGGTATCAGACAATCCTTCGGCTCTCAGAGTGTGTTTAAAATGTGGAAACAGCCTTTGGGTTCCTGAGATAATGGTTTATGCTTGGGTGTGTTCCTCTACAGGGGCGTATTCTTGGATAAAATCTATGGAGATCTTAAACTGCCCAAACTTCAGTGTGCCCCTCTCAATCTGCCTGATCTGCAACAAAAGAATACAAATGGGCAATGGCTTGGTTACAGGAGCTGTTGGAAAAGGTGACATCTTTAGACATTAGTCCACTGTAGTGATTAGTATGAAGGCCAGGTGGATCCATTGACTATGAGATCCTTGACTGGGGCTGTTACCTGGTCCAGTCAGGGAGACCTGACTGACAGCTATAAACAGGAGATTCAGAGGGCCTCCTCATTCTAGGGACTGGCTTTGAGCTGGCTGGTCAGAGCCCATGTCCAGTGCACATGTAAATAAAGGGCGACTTGGTGACAGGGTACCAGCCTCCTTGGAGTTATTTCATCCACCTTTGAGCTTCACTCGAGATTTCTTGTCAGAGTTTACTTCCTGTCACAGGAAGCGATGGAGGCCAGTACAATTATAACATTTAAAAGAGATCTGGATGAGTATACGAATAGGAAGGGTTTAGAGGGATATGGGCCAAATGCTGGCAAATGGGACTAGATTAATTTTGGATAATCTGGTCGGGGTGGATGAGTTGGACCAAGGATCTGTTTCCATGCTATATATCACCAAGACTGTATGACTCTTAGCCCTTGTATGAAGCAGTTTTTGCCCAGAGCCAGGAGTTTGGTATGTGAGCACCAGTTTGTGTAGACATGATATTGGGCCTGTGCACTGCACATTTGGAAGTCAAACACCATCAGCATTCCTTGGACATTTCAGTTTGGGGCTGAGAGGGATTTGGTTGCTGTATTCTTGCCTGTCGGAAAGCTCAATCAGTCAGTCTACTGTGACTGACAACCTGTTTTAATTAACAGAAAGGGAAAGGGGGCAACATTCAGATTGAGTCTTTTTATTTAGATAGTACGATAACTGTGCATAATGTGGAATTTTACTGTTTTATCATCCTGTCCTACAGCAATAAACGTTCACATTAATTTGCAATGTGCACAAACAAGTTCAGTTCAGAGCTTCAGAGTCCACGTGCTGGAGTGAAGCATAGATAACTACCCTGCAATTAAGGAGAGGGAATGTAAATTTATGTAATAATAATATTTAAGTAATCTGGACAGATAGGCATAAGCGATTGTAGGAGCTGTATGTTTCAGCTGAAGAACTACTGTGGACCAGGATGTACTTTAGGCTGGTTTGATAAGTGCCAGGATATTAATTGAAGCCATGTACAGAAGTAACATTGTCTTTTACTGAAAATGACCAGACAGACATCTGCACAATTTAACCTGTGTCTCACCTTAAAAG